ACTGACACTCTGAAAATGTTAATGGTTACTATAGTTACCACCTGCTTCAGCATTTAAACATTTACATTTTGTTGACATACAGTATTTGTGTCTTAGTTATGAATATCGCAGTAAAAGAGCGGCTATTTCTCTAAGCAGCAATAGCCAGTCGTTTTATTGATGGGGGCGCAATAAGTTTTCTGTGAGGTACGAGCTGCGCTTTAAAATAGTGCTAGATAAACCTTGGGCTCCAGTGCCGGACAGCAGGTTACAAGACAACATGCGGAAGCTCTTGCGAGAGTCCAGCTCTCGTAAGATTTTCTTTGCTTTTCTTTGGTCAGAGAGCAAATGCTTGGATGAATGTATAAGGGGTGGGCCTTCCTGGCCCTTGCACCGCGACCACAGTGATCTATTGTGCCTGAGCAAATGCTTAATTCGTACCTAAATTCTAAGTTTCACTGCAAGGTTCACATGGAGCCCTCCCAATGATAACATAAAAATTCAACCATAAAAAACCCTCCACATATTAATGTCAAAATTGAACCCTAAAGTAGCCCTCCAAATATTAACAAAAATTCAATCCTAAATGCCCCCCCCCCAATATTAACATCAACATTCCATCCTAAAGTAGCCATCCCAATATTAACAAAAAATTCAATCCTAAAATAGCCCTCCCAATATTAACAAAAAATATAATCCTAAAGGAGCCCTCGCAATTCATTCATTCATCAGTAATCTGTCAGATGACAGGTCCACAGCCTCTTCCAAAACAGTTTCTCCACTTAATGCGATCTTCTGTTTTTGGAAAGAGACTATCCAGGAATAGTGATAATGTGGTAGTTTTTCCATTTGCTTTCCACATCGCAGTACAACAGCCGTTCAAACCACTCTGGTCACGCCTGTTGCTATACGAACTTGAACCATCTCGAGCATCATTTTCTCTGTGCTTCAAGTCGCCGCTGATGACGCTGCTTCCGGCATCTGTTTTCGGTGTCTCTCTTCGTCTGATGCCTACCCTTTGACCTGTCCAGCAAGGGAGGCCCTGCCAGTAGCTACGCTACCGCTGGTATAGCTCTCAGGGTCCTTGGCATACTCAAACACCCTCACCACGATAAGGTGGAGACACCAACGAGGGGCCCTCGCAATATTACCAAAAAATTCAATCCCAATGTTAACATCAAAATTCTACCCTAAAGTAGCCATCTCAGCATTAAAATCATAATCCCACTTAATACAAACTTCCCAATATTATTAGAAAACTTTGTATTTAACTCAGTAAAGATCCTGCCCAAATTCTTTCCCTTCCTCATAACACAAATATCCTAATTTCGTCTCATTACCCTCATCATTTCCCAACGATTTTCCTTCTTTCCTACAGACCTTTACTAGAAGTGCGAGCGGTCTGTGACGGGGAACCCCCTGTTCCCAATCTTGGAATGAAGCGTGACTCACCATCCGCGTCTATCCACAGTCTCTTCTCCACACTACAAACAGAGCATTTCGGTAGTGACTAACCACTTTTTGCAGCATTCCACATCCCGGAAGGTCGCGAGTTCGGTTCCCGATGAGGTCCTTAGACATTTCAATTGAACCTAATCCTTCCAGCCCTACTATGGCCCTGGGGTCGACTCAGCCTCTAACAGAAATAAGTACCAGGAACCTTCATGCGGGTAAAGGGAGGCCGGTGCGTAAGGCTGAAAACCTCACCGCTATCTGTGAGCTGATCGTCTAGAAAATGTTGGAGTCTCGATGTCTCACAACCCCATATGCCTCCACAGCCTACTGCAGACATAGCTTTACTTTTATAACTTTATAATGAACTATTCATATTGTAGCATGTAGACCCGTTGCTGGGCAACGACCGCGAGATAAGCAAATATACAAGCGCTTTTGCCGAGTAACGGCTTCGCAAACAAACATGTTCCTACAGAAAAGATTGAACTACAATAATGACGAGCAGTGTTTTCTATGCGGTCCATGCCGAGATGTTATAACCAGTTGAGATTGGAGGCCCTGCGAGGAGTAGAAGGAGACGAAAAGGGAACCCAATACCGGGGGTATATCCGGGCCACCCTGTTCTTGGGGGACATTACCACGGGGACCTAGGCCGCCAGGTTTGGGGAGTCTCAAATCTCAGACAGTAAAATGTGGTCATGAGTCCTCCGGGACATGGACCTGAAAATAATTGCGCTGGCGAGGACCAGCAGCAGTTGAAAACGACAGACCAAACCTCTCGTTAGAGAAGATGGTAAATGAGGTCTATGACTGCAAATGTTCAGTTAGAAAATAAAAAATTACTGGTCGTGAGTCTCAAGGGGCTTGTCGCCAAGACGAACTGATTGGCGGTAAATCGCCAGTCGTAAAGTGACTTTAACTCTGACTCTGGCTCTGGCCGAACTGAAAAATCCAGTGACCTCATCGGGAATCGAAACTGCGACCTCCTGGTTTGTAGCATAGTGAAGATGGTACCTACAAAAACATACGGCGTCACATCTCAGCAGATGGTGACATTAATTTCTGTGTTCACAGAGCCAGCCATATTGTAAAATTAATGCTTAAATAATAAGATAAATGTAACGAAATTTTAGGTTATTACATTTTGATTGGTGAGTTCTGGGCTAACGTAAGTAACGACTGTTTCCCCTGATATTCGGCAACCCTTCCTACGTGTGTGTTCTAGTGGACGTCTGCTGGCGGGGTCAGTGGTTACTGCAGATACTGCTCGCTTTAACATAAAACACTGCGTTATTCCAACGCGGTTTATTTGCTTCGTATGAATTTCAGAATAAACAACAAATATTTCTCTAAACTTCATTCCTAGCCTCTGTTCCTTATTTGTAGCCTACTTCTCTACTTTGAAAAACGAAAGTAGGCTTATGCGATCTCCATGCTTTCTGTGTGTCTCTGAATCCCAACGTATTAACTACTTCACCCCTGAAGCAACATTTATGGAACTCCGTATGTATATCATGGCAACTGAGCCCTTCATAAATCCCTCCCATTATCCCATGTGGCTGTATGCTTATCCATCCTACCGTTGCTAGGCAACGGCTTGGTAATCACGTTCCCGCTGCCACGAATACACGTAACAATGTAAGAATTGTTTCACGCGTGTTCTATGAGTCTGTCTGTGAACCCCCCTATCACTGCTAGCTAACAGCAAGGTAAAGATGTTTCCAGCCGTTCACGGTAGCCGAGCGGTCTAAGGCACATACTGTCTTCGCTCGCTTGGAAACCGGGATCGTGGGTTCGAACCCCACTCAGAGCATGGATGTTTAGTTTGTGTACAGGTAGAGGCCTTGCGACGAGCTGATCACCCGCCGAACGAGTCCTACCGAATGTGTAAAATCAAGAAAAACCGAAGTGAACGGAGAAGTTCATGGAGGTAGACCTCGGCCCACTGGGGCTGTAGTACCAAGGGGGGGGGAGATATTTCCACAGCAACGAAGAATTGTTGAAGGCGTCGTTTTCTGTGTGCTCCATGTCGAGTCAGAAGGGAAGCAGGTGACTGGTTCCTCTCAGAACTTCTTGTCTTTAACGCAGACGCAGTGTGTTTCCCGTGAGGCAACTGAGGTTTTTAATGTTGGTGTAATGAATTTTATGCTTCCAAGTGTTAATGAAGTAACGCGGAGACCTGACCTAACGATATCGCATTACCTACGCATTTCGGAAGCAACTCGTGCTCAGTAAATTTCCGCAGTTGTGCTGAATGTAAACTTGCTGTTGCTGACGACAGTAACACCACTACTACTGCTTCTGTCACTGCTGCCAACCGCACAGACATTAGCGCTTGTACCTTACTATAACGAAATATATCTCCACATAAATCGCTTCCGTCTCAGACAGATTTCCGTCTAAACAGTTTCCTACTTTACAGGTTTGTGTGTTACAGTTTCCCACACTGCCCCTTTTAAACGTCTTTCATAACAAAGAATTGAGAGGAGGTTCTAAACAAACAGACACCATGGAACTGAGTCCTTCTTGGGAAGCCGTCAGTCACTTAGCATCTCAAGAATATTATGGGACCTCAAGGTTCAATACTGTGTTCACAACAGCCTGAGCCAGATCAATCCTGTCCATCCCATCCTGCCTTTCCAAGATTCATTTTAGCAATACCCTTCCACCTGTGTCTAGGTACTACTAGTGTTTTCTTTCCTTCTGGCTTTCCCACGAAATCCTATATTCATTCTTCTTCTTCCTCCCCACGAGATCTAAATGCCCTGTCCATCTCACCATCCTTGACTTGATCATTCTAATTATACTTGGAGAAGAGTACAAGCTATGAAGCTCCTCGTTATGCAGTTTTCTCCAACCTCCTGTCACTTCATTCATCTTCGATCCAAATATTCTCCTCAGCACCCTGTTCTCAAACACCCTCGGTCTATGTTCCTCCCTTAATATTAGAGACTAAGTTTTGTACCCATGCAGAAGCACAGGCAAAATTGTAGTTTTTTTATTTTCTGATTTTTTACGTTTTCAAACAGCTCACGAGGCGATAAATTTCTGATCTGAATGGTAGCAAGCATTACTTGAATTCACTGGAGTCAGGATAGCTCACTTGGTATAACTACAGATGTGCAAGATTTTTCTCTTCTCCACAGCGCCCAGACCGGTTAAGGGGCCAACCCACCCTCCTATAAAATGAGTATGTGGGCTCTTTCCCTGGGGTTAAAGCCTAAGGTACGAGAAGCTGACCACTTACCTTTACGTGATGACGAGGAGCTAATGGAGCTTATACCTCCATTCCCCTGTATGTTTCCATGGCGTAGTGCATAACTAATTAAGCACATGGACAAATATATCTTTCTCATATAAACATTTTTCTGTAGAATAAGTTTCAGGGCTACAGCGAACACTTAACTGCAATTACGAGATATCTTAACTACAGAGCTTGTGGCTGCTCAGAACGATGCATGTAATTTGAGGAAACTGACGCTACGAAGGTGCGAAGTAAAGATTCCAATCAACGCGTCTGCATTCGGCGGGCAGGTCACGCTCATGACATGAGCCGAACAACTTACCGAAGTCCGAAACATGGTGGGGAATGTAAATCCCGGCTCCAGGCCGTCCACGTCGATGTTAAACGGCGACGTGTTGATATTCCTCAGCGTCTTCATGGCGGACAATATGGCCAAGCTGACGAGAGTCACAGCGATGACAGGGCCGATCTGTCGGCCTGAGTACTCGTCCATCATGATCCAAGCGCCGCGCCAGTGAGAGATACAGGCGATGCCGAACACCCACGTGTACGTCCTCGAGACGACGAACAGGATCACAGGGGATGACCTCATACATTTCTCTCTCGTCCTGCTGAAGTAGTCTTGGAGGATGTCCTTCAGCAGAGCGAACATGAAGTGCAGGATGGTTCCTGTGAGGAAGCAGGTCCACCACGGAACGCGGTGGTACTCCGCCAGCATCCACGTGCCCCTCCATTGCCCGATGACCAGAGGAGTCACCAGTACTATTGTCACTATCAAGTCCACCGTCTGAATGTGGAGCTTGACGCCACACACCGAGATGCTCTTCCTTACCCTGCCAGTGTCTGACTCTACAATGTTCAGTACTGGTGTATAGTCGACAAGATGCTTGGGAAATTGCGGCCTCACGTTTCCGTTGTCATCGTCGTGGTCTCTCGTCATTATTTGGAGTCACTGGTTTTATTTCCTTCTTGTACTCTCCTGCGTTAATATTTTGCGCATAGACTTTCTTCTCCGTCTTGAGGATCCTCCGTCGGGCTCGCGGTGCGGGACGGGCCGCATAAATATTGGTCCTCTCGAGCTGCTGAAAACAAAGTGTGCCTGTGTTAGTAAAGGTGAACGGCTGCCGTAACGCGAGTAGATCCATATCAGTAGTTAGGGGGAGCCACGGTAGCCTACTTGGTTGAGGCACTATGCTACAAGCCAAGAGGTCGCGGGTTCGATTCCCGATTAGTTCAATGGAATTTTTAATTGATGTAATCCTTCCAGCCGCACTATGGCCCTGGGGTCGACTCAGCCTCTAACAGAAATGAGTACCAGGAAACTTCCTGGGAGTAAAGGGCGGTCGATGAGTGAGGCTGACAACCTCACCGCCATCTGCGAACAGACTTGTAAAAAAAGAACTGGTCCATACACTAGCTCGTAGTTTGCTTTTTTTAGTTCCTTTGGGGGGGGGTGAGACTGAGTCTGCTTTGTACATCGGTTACTTTGCCTGTTGTACCAGCCCCGGATGATAGATGAGTATGGAGCAGACTGTGGAATGAGAATTGGCAGGGGAAAAGGAAGTACTCGAAAACCGGTCTCATCGTTATTTTCAATGCCACAAATCCACATGACCTGACGTGGGATCGAATTCGAGCAGCAGAGGTGAGAAGCCTGAGCTATGGCACGACCTGTGTCGCACGACATACCCCCAGCACTGTACATGCGTTCTGAGCTCAGCCTGAAACACCATGGCAAATACGCAGAGTGATTCTAAATTATTATCGACATTTCCGTTTACTGGCCACGGAAACCCCGACAATAATTTAGAATCACCCTGCGTATACCGCCTATTTAAGATTGGAATAACTTCGAATTTTACCCCAGAGGAGCCGGAATAGCTCAGTCGGTACTGTGACTAAGCTACGGGCTGAATGACTGAGGTTAATTGGATCGATTCCCGACAGGGACAAAAGTTTATTTTCATCTCCACATTGTCGAAACCGGCTCTGGAACTCACCCAGCCTCTGTACAGTGTGTTCCGGTAACGTTTTCACGGGGATAAAACGACCGGGGGTTGAAGCTGACCCCACACTTCCATCTAGTACCCAAGTTAATGATGCTTGGAGCTATGCCTGCATGTCCTTAACAATGCGATGTATTTTTTCGCATGGTCCTCAGAATAGAAACCTTCTGTACTCCTTGATCCACATTCGGAAGGCGCCGTTTCGTGTCTCGGCTCGGGACTGTCTGTCATACCTCAGTTCCCCCTACAATTTCTTTATGGACATGCTTGAAGTTAGGAAATCTGTGTATAATGTGATTCATTCTTCTATGAAAATTTGTATTCACTCGATTAAACATTTAACGAGTTGGGCGCGAAATTCTTAAATCTTCATTTTATATGCCCACCACTGTTATCAGAACTGGTATGGAAGATAATGCTCCGTAATACTTCCAAATATCAGCGAGTCTGTGTTCTTGCACGCGAACGGACAGAAGGACAGACATGGCGGAGCTAAGAGGTAGAAGTGTGAAATTTTAATAAAACATTCCTCAAAATTTCGTGAGAGTTTCCTTCAATTTATTTTTCTTTTTCATTTCAAAGCCATTATCCTGTGCGGCAATACAGGCTGTCCCAGGAGGAAAGACCAGTATTCCGGGAGGTCACAGTATCGGTCATTCTAAGGGAAAAAGTGTACATGTACATGTGTCCTGTTCCGAACGGTTTCCGAGATACAGCTATTTCACTGCACAGACGAGCAACACGCCATGTCCTCACACGAGTTGCAAAGTGCATTGATGTTGGCGGTGGCATTTTTTGAAATGTATTTTACTAGGTAGACTGTACCAACAGCCGGTCACGGTAGCCGAGCCGTCTAAGGCATATGCTGTCTTCACTCGCTTGGAAACCGGGATCTTGGGTTCGAATCCAACTCAGGGCTTGGATGTTTAATTTGTATGTGTGCGTTTTTCTGTGTTTGTGTACAGGTAGAGGCCTTGCGACGAGCTGATCACCCGCCTAAGGAGTTCTACCGAATGTGTAAGATCTAGAAAAACTGAAGTGAACGGAGAAGTTCATGGAGGTAGGCCTAGGCCCACTGGGGCTGTAGTGCCAATGAAAAAAAAAACTATACCAACTCTGTCACTGGAACAATAAATACTGGCATTAGAAGCAGTACGTAATATCTCTTTCTTATCAGCAGTTCTGGAACTGTACAGTTGAATAGCTCTATCTCTGACACCGTTCGGAATAGGACACATGTACGTGTACACTGTCCTGCTTAGAATGACCGATACTATGACCTCCCAGAATATTGACCTTTCCCTTGGGACATCCTGTATATCAATTATGCAGTTCAAATAAGACGTTAAAGTAATCGAAGCGACAAGCGGTTACCTTATGTTCTGTTTGAAAACGGGAAACGTGAAGCTGTGTTTGATGTCAAACGTAACGAGCCCATGTTCACAGTAGGAGGAAATGCAGTCGGTTCATAATAGCTATTCATATCGTCATGTGATGGAGTGTGACTATAGACGGGGTTTGGGTGGTAATAAAATTTACTGAACCTTTCAACTCATAAATGCAAGTAAGAGCTATGCTCTCACCGTTCTACACATTTAAAAAATCGCTAAAGGACGCACTAGGTCTTCTCAGTCTGTTGCCTCTCGGCGGCTTCCAACGACGGACGTTCCCCTTCCTCTGGATCCCCGAAATGTGCCCATGCCTCAGCTACCAGCTTCTCCCAGCAGTTCTCTAACTAACTCACTAACTCATCAACCAACTCCTCACTAAAAATGGCTGACTCCTAATTTGTTCTGCTTATAAAATCCCGACACGGATCGAAATGTACAACAAAGTGTAGACTTTTGTAGGTTAGAGCATGTAGTACGCATAGCGGTGCTTTAGATTGTTAAGTCAAACGTGTATACGCGTCTGGTGCATGGGAATCAGAGCAAAGTTAGGTTAAGTCTATGGTAAGAGGCAACGGGTAGCTTCTCTTTATGTCATGAAGATGTATGAAGGTTGTGGACTAAACATCCACGTATTCGAGATCATGACTGCATAAAGAGGTGATCTGTAGTATGACACTCTATTCGCTTTATTCCTGAAGATACATCCCTCGCTACCAATGAAATCAGAGCGGGAATAGATAACTACAATTTTGGGGTGCCGAATGTGGCCACTTCGATGTGATCCTTGGTCCGGAAAGCCGAAGATATAATTGAGTAATTCTGTTTATAATCTGTCAGGCCTCTCGCTATAAATGTTTCATATTGACCGAAGCAGTTCTGCCAAACGCATCGCTTTGCATTTCAGTTACTTTTCGCTCCCGGACTAGCGTGAAACCAGCTTGACACATTCGTACGCCTACTCCAGTTCGAAAGCTTAAAAACTGTTTGGATAGTTAACTTTTGTAAAAGGTCCATAGGATTGTGAGACGTCGAGACTCCCACATTTTCTAGACAATCGGCTCACAGATGGCGGTAAGGTTTTCAGCCTCATGCGACGGCCGCCCTTTACCCCAAGGAAGATTCCTGGTACTCATTTCTGTTAGAGACTGAATCGACCCCAGGACAATAGCACGGCTGGAAGGATTATGTAAACTGAAAAATCCAATGACTTCATCGGTACTCGAACTCTGACCTACCGGCTTGCGACACAGCGCCTCAACCAACTACACTACCGCGTGACCCTCCCCCCCTTGCATTTACGGGGTCGTTTTATACGCGGTGCGAGTACTAATTTGAACGGGTGAACTTACGGTAGGACTCGAAACATTGCCGAGGACACCTCGTTGCTGTGTTTGAAGCAGACGGAAGTTTCCATTCTGCAATCCTTCACAAATTAAAGGACCGATCAGACACTTCCCCNCCCCACTTTGTTTCTGTCTTCAATATGAAACTACAGATAAACAAATTTCGTGTCCGACATCCATCTTTGTCTGCTCGCAGTCCGTTTTCTGCTACGGCGGGAATTCGTCACTTCGCGTCATGTGCGTCATATTCACTTCCGGGCATGGACGGATAAATGACGCTCTCGTGACCCGTACTTCTCCGTCAGTGCGTGACACGTGCGTTTCGTCTGTGTGTCGTCCTATGTATGCAGCGGCCCTGCGATTGGTACGTACCGAACGATGAAGAAGGTAAAGATCGATATATATCGATATCTAAATATCACCGCGTGACGTGTCAATATTTTCGTGGGCCTTCCCACCGGGCTAGCGCAGTCGGTATAGCGACCGGCTACTGGCTGGACGACCGAGGAGTCAGAGTTCGATCCCCAGGAGGGTCAAGAATTTTCTCTCCTCCATGTCGTCCAGACCAACTCTGGGGCCCGTCCAACCTCCTATCCAATGAGTACCGGGATCTGTTCCCCCTGGGGTAAAGCGGTCGGTGCGTGAAGCTGACCGTTCACCTGCCAACTAGAATAACAAGTATCTGGAACGAAAATCGAAGCCTGGGCTTCCGTAACGCATTATGAAACCCTCATTATATAAGATCTTCATATACCGGAAGTCTCCGGTTCAATTCCCGGTGACAGACATTCCTCCTCCTCAGTCTGTTGCACCTGCTCACGTTGGTTCGCTCGCGGAATTCTTCTTGTCTTCTACCCTGAAGATTGAGGCTATACGTTCCTCCGAAACGTCGGTTAACACCACATCTACACGGTGCCATATCCCAGAAGACTGCTTCAATCCTCATCCTATTCGTGAGGTCCCGGGTTCCAGTATTGGTCTGAACATCGGGTATCCTGACATTTTACCATGATTTTCCTCAGTCCCACGAGATTGTGCTTAAAATTAAGTCACGACCGCTTCCTTCCACATCCTTTCCGGTTCACTATTCACTGGTCGCCCGTACAATCTACAATTTTGTCAGAGCCATGAGTGCGCCGCTCAGTAGTACACAGATAAAAATGCAGACACAAATGAGAAAGCGTTGGAGGTGACCTGAGAGCAGCAGAAACCAGAAAAAGGTCACGAGAAAGAAGACTTCCGCTATCTGTGTTAAGATTGCGTCACAAATGGAAACTCTCCAACGATAAGGGCCATATTCAGTCAGACCGGGGTTTCAGGATATGGCTTTCCGGATGAATCTCACCTTCAGATGTTGCCTAGCGCCGAATGTTGTGAAATAATGATGGCGATGGGTTAGATTGGATTGTGATGGCACTGGTGGCTCTGTATTTTAAGACATTACTTCTCACTGGCCGCAGTGCCTGGAGAAAATCGCACAATATTCTTAAGTCGGGATATCCGGTGTTCCTGCTGAGATTCGAGTCGGTCACCTCCAAAATATGGGCCAGAAGCATTATTAACTGAGTCAGCGTGCTCGGTAACGCCTGGACAAAATCGTATGTTTAACGGTGAAATAGCGGGCACGCGGCGCAGCTACGTAACTTCAGAAATCGAATGAAAGGAAGGTGAAATAGAACAAGTTCTGTGATAGATCCCAGTGAATGTGTGATAAGAAGACAAGTTAACAACGAGAGACACGGAACCATGAGAGGTCTGAGGGCATCTGCCCGCTCGAACCTGAATTTGGAGGCAATAGATATGTCTGAAACGTCTGTTAACGACCAGACATCATGCTCATCCAGCAGTTCTCCGCGTTATACAGGAAGTAAATGTTTCGTGTTTTTCTTTTACGTGGAATTTGAGGCCCTGTCTACTACCGTTCTGCTCAACCGAAGACGTCCATACGTCACTCCTATCAGCCACGATGAAACTGTGAATGGCCTAGCGGAATATTAGGATCGCAAAGTGTTTAAAATATCACGATCATCACGGAATAACAAAACGTTAAATACAAAGCAATTTGCTTGTAGTCTCATTGAAGGCACAGGACACAGTGTCAGGCTACCCGCGTCTTCAAAATGCAATATACTCGTAAGTTTCAAGCCTGCCATTTGCACTCCGCTCCCCTCCCCTTAACCCCGCAGCTCTTGTCTGATGCACTACGTTTTTATTACTGGCTACTTAATAACGCTATCGCATGTGATAACAGCAATACCACAATCAGGCGTTTTCTAAATAATATTGTGACATGACTCCTGAAAGGCGAAATGGCGGAGCCCGAGTGACGGTCGTTGCTAGGGAATGGCTCCATGGCGGTGATTTAGGAGAGTATGGAATTAGCATAACTCCATGATCGAATCTAGCAGACTTTCTGAGAGCCGTCAATGTGGCAACAATGCTTGATAGCCTCGCTGCGCGCTGAGCACGCCGAAGTATCGTGACCGCTCGGTTTAGAAACTGTGCTCCATTATTGAAACGAAATTTCGGCCGGAACTGAATCTTCGCAGTGTTGCCACTGCATCTTTCAATGATTTCAATTATTCCTTATTGACAATACATCCTAGTGTCCTTGAAGTCCTTTAGTATGAAGCTCTGGTCTGGGCTACATGTTGAGACGAGTCTGTTGTTATGAAAACTGATTACTGTGACCCACATCGACTGATGCTGACTGAGGAGTGGGCCGATCTTTCGTGGCCTGTGTTCCAAGACTTGGTAAAGCGTATAATTCCTCTGTGGGAAAAATGGTCAAGGATATAAGGCATAGACACTAACTTCATGAAGCAGGGCCATTCTTCAAGGCCGAGAGCCGCTCAGTAGATCAAGGAATGTTTTCTGTTTGTAGAACGCCAATATTCACTTTTATGTTTAAGGAAACCACGTGACTGGCACCTAACATGAACCAATTAAATTCCTCATCCCTCTTTATAATCCATTTTAATATTATGCTCGCGGCAACACTCGAATCTACCGGGAGACATGTCCTTTCGGGGATATAAACCGAAATTATAGGTAGGTGTATAAGGTCGCGCGTTTATTCCCCGATGAAGTCACTGGATTTTTCAATTGACGTAATCCTTCCAGTCGCACTATGGCCCTGGGGTCGACTCAGCCTCTAGCAGAAACGAGTACCAGGAATCACCGCCATCTGCGAGCCGATTGTCTAGAAAATAAAGAAGCCTCGACGTATCACAATCCTGTGGGGCTCCACGGCCTGTTACACGGGTAGCTTCACCTTTACTTTAGAGGAGATAATTTTTAGAAATCTATGATTTGAACTCTTGTAGTGCTCTGTAGGAAATATGAATGCACGAAAACATAGCATCGTAGGCAGTTTCTGGAAGACGTCTGCTACTTCATAAACAACGTTCCTACATTTATTTCAAGTAGATACGTCAGAAAAGGAAAAGAATTAAGTGTACAAATAACAGGACACTCTCAGGATAGCGAGGAGGCCGATGTGTATAAGAAAGTGCTACAGAGGACCGGATGGGCACCGCCTAGGCCTTGGTATTTATAATTATTTTTCACAATAAGAAACCGATAATTTCTTTGTTTTTTAGTCCGAGATATTGCAACAAATCCTTTCTGTAACTTTCATAATAAAATTCTTAATTCTGAAAAATCACATACAAAGTTTTTAGTTACCTAGAAACCGAAATACTTTAGTGTCCACATGGTTGCATGTGCATTACAGTCTCCATCTTGTTTTTGCACAGAATTGTCGCGTGTATATAAACCACTTATTTGCAACCCATCAACAGAAGAATGTAAATGTGAAAAAAGGGAGCCCGAGATGCACATCCACTCAGACTTCCTTTGATAAGAAAGCCAGGTTTCAGCTTTATAGTGCCCGTGGTTACCGAGTCACAACTTTAACACACAAACGCAGAAATGCTGTTACCTTTAGATTTCACGAATGAGACGAGATGACAACAGACTGTGAAATGAATAGCTGAAAGCATTTCTAAACTTTAATCCACTCTTAATTTCTTCGTGAACGCTACCTGCTGAGCATATGAAACTGAAATTTCTGCTCTGTAACCAGTCAAATGTAGGCTGACGTGAAGCCTGCTCAGGGCTGCAGGTGTTGGACGAGTGTGGGGCAATGGCAGGGTTACTATTAGCAAAGAACATCACAAGACACTTGGAGAGAAAGCCGCTCCAGTGCCCATTTGTTCATCACGGATCTCAACATAAAATCACCCGGCACTCAACTCGGGTTGTCTCGAAGAGAAGCCAGCGTATAAGCGACTACACTATGGTACGACCCCTACTCAGCGTAATGAATAGGAATTATAAATAAATCCATTTTCATTACTCACCCTTTTAAATCTGCGTTTCCTTTGAGGTCTGTTCCCAGAAATGCTGGAAATTGTCTTCTCGGCAGCGCACACGCGTCACATTAATACTGGCAGTAGTTCGCACTCACAGCTATGTTATATACGACGGACAGAATTTCTCAGGAAAGAGGCTTTTGGTATTAATGCTATGTGTACACTCCAAACAGACTGCGTCAGCACAGCGTAACAAGCGCTGTGCAATTCTTCTAAATCAATCCGTGAAAAAAGACTGATAAACCGTATATATAGAACATTCTGTTGTAACTGGTGTTTCAGAAACAGTTGACGTTAAAACTGAGACTGTACGAAGAAGTTGCTACGCAACCGATAAACACGACTGTGACCTGTGACCCCTCCTGGCGATAATAGTCCTCTAATCAGTTAAACATCCATTCCACTCCGGTTTGGCACACCATCTCAAGATTATTTGTATAGAATCACATAGCTAATGAGTTGCAGCACCGTGTGGGCTGGGTAAACATTTGTGGTTTAATTAGACCTTCAAACAACAACAGTAATTATATTGTACCCTGTAGAGCCGCTACTTTGCAACGACAGCGATATAAAGAAATATACCAGAGCCGTTTCTAGGGAACGGCTCGGTAAACACGTTCCCGCGGCAACGGATATCCATGCAACAACAGAAGTACTGTTGGAAACTGTGTTTTCTACTCGGTCCGCGCAATGACGTTATAAGGAGGAGAATTAAAGAACGAATAGTATGGAGGCGGGTTCGAATACGTCCACCGTGACCCTGCGAGTTGTAGGGGGCGACGAAAAGCGAAGTTTTGAATTTGAGACAGTAAAATATGGTCACGAGTCCCAAGGGACTCGGACCTGTGAATGACTGCGCTGACGAGCACCAGCAGTAATTATAAACGACAGACCTTACAAGTTGTGAGTACCCCGTTTCAAGTGGCGCTGAAACCGCCCCTTCTCCAGAATTGAGAACAGCCATTTTGAAATTTATAGCAGGGAATCAAAGTATCGGCTGGCACCGTGATAAATTTCCAAGCTTATCAGAGGGACAGGTATTTGGACATTAAGATAAACATTTTTTTTTTGCCCAAAGAGAACTAGGTTAAACATATTCAAAGCAAGTTTCTAGGATTTGCCATTTGGCCATCATCACAATTGTCGTTCAGTATTTCTTTTTTATGCTTTTTCTGTTTTACGCCAAACAGCACGGAGATTTGTTAGTTTCATCGAACGCGATTGGACCGTTCACTGCGCCGATGTTTTCGACTGTGGCTATAAATAATTTGTCCTTCGATTTTGGATGAATTGGTGCGTTATCCTGCCCGAATACGTCACTGCATTCTACAGCCCCCTGACGGTGATATTGAAATTTACTCAAAGGAGGAAACAGTGCAGCGAATGAGGTGCAACATGAACCGTGTCCAAAAACCGAGCTGTTAGATTATCAGAAAGTTTAAATTTGCACGTAATATATGTAAACATTAAACTCGCTACTGCTGTCCGAGGGGTGCACGCGGTAGGGTAGTTGGTTCAGGCACTATGCTGAGAGCCGGAAGGTCGCGGGCTCAAGTCCCGATGAGGTCATTGGATTTTTTTTCAATTTACCTGATCCTTCCGGCCTCAATATGGCCCTGGGGGTCGACTCAGCTTCTAACAGAAATGAGTACCTTGGAATATTCTTGTGGATAAAGGGCTCCGGCCCGTAGGGCTGACAACCTTGCCTCCATCTATGAGCCGTATGTCTAGAAAATGTGGGAACCTCAACATCTCACAACCTTATCAGCCTCCACGACCTGTTACAGGGACACCTTTACTTTTTTTTTTTTTTTTTTACTGCTGTCTGACAGAAGGTTCAGAACGCAACACAGAAATGCAATGTGTTGTATGACAGACAGTGGGTGCAGCCGGTTGAATTCGTCCTATTGTTTATGTCTTGTCGAAGAGAAAAAACGCGACTCGAAATTTTGAAATAGCCGGCACAATATCAGAGCATGCGCGTTAGCCTGTCTGCTTCTGTAAGCGCCAATATGTCGGCGCCTATGGTGACAGTGTAAATAGTTTGATCTTTCTGGAGCCCGTCGGCATGGCCTTCCTTGTCACGCGGTTCACATGAGACATATCTGTGTAAAGTACACCATGCTTCGTATTATAAAGAAAGGCGACACGATAAATGCGACCTTGCCCAAGTTAAATTAGCTGCCCTCTCTCCTTTTGTTACTTCTATTGTTGTTTACTTGACAATGAGTATAGTAAAACTAAGATTCATATTTTAGTAACTGTTGCTTAAACGACAATGTATAATAACACATTCATTTCCTGCACCAAGCTGGCTTCTTTCTATTAGAACAAACAGGCATCTTGTGTTTCATTTGGAACTGCATGCCATATCAAATAGTTTTTCTGCGTCTTTTGACCTGGGCAATAGTGCCGAGGTAAACAATGCGCACATCTATACATCCACTCCCCCAAACGTCTTCATACCGTGTTGCTTAATTACGAGGGAGAGTCAGTAAATAGATCATAAATGCATATAAAACGTAAAATATTTTATTTATTTCTCGACATGCCCTCCACCATCATGGATACATTTGTCCCACCGCTTTACCAGTGCGCCCAAACCCGCAGCATAGGAGTGAGTCTTGTGACTGTTGCTTCAGCCAATTCCGCATCTCCGCTGCAACTTCTTCTTCATGAGACAAATTTTGCCACCCACATGTGAAACGCTTTGCGCCATAAATACTTCCCACCGTAAAGAGAGGATATTTTTTTTTATGAATATTCTTTTCGTTGAGTCATTTTGCCCACAAAACGCACAACAGAACGCTGCTCTTCTGAAGTAAACTTCTCAAGCATGGTCGCCATTTTGACTACTGAAACCAGCCTTTGAACGTGGGCATGCACGTCTCCTACGTAGCTGGATTGTGCTGCTACCTAGTGATGCACATAGAAAATCTATTGCATCCATTACCGCTGTTCTATTTCCATTTGTAACCTATTTACTGACTCTCCTTCGTAGTTAAGCACAGAGGCAACTATTTTCTTTCTCCCCTATCATTCCCACTTTGGAGCACAGGGCTGATTTATCAGTTTCGTGATCATTTTTACAGACGGTAGGACTCCTTGGACGGGTGATCTGCTCGTCGCAAGGTCTCTACCTAAACATAGGACAACACATACACAGAATAAACGCATACACACAACAAACATCCATGCCATGTGTGGAATTCGAACCCACGATCCCGGCTTCCGAGCGAGCGAAGACAGTGCATGTCCCGGACCGCTCGGCTACCGTGAACGGCACAGAGGAAATTTTACCTCTACCGAATTACGAAATGGTAAGTTTTAAAATTTCAAGTAGGTATACGGTCTAGGCTACAGGCTAGAAGACCGAGGATCCTGGGTTAGGTTCTCGACAGGGGCAAAGAAATTTTCTCTTCTCTATAGCTTTCATAATGGCTCCGGGGCCAGCCACCAGGGGTTACCTCCGACTGGGCCATGAACGCTAGAGCCGAGTTCAGTAATGCGTGGAAACTTACCTCCACGTCTCCATACCGCTTCATGGCTTGGTGCTTAATTAAGCACAGGGATAACGGATAATTGAAGTATTTATATACCAGAAGAAAATTAATGTTGATTAAGGTTAAGACACGCAAGAAAACGCAGATTCAGGTGGGAAGCTTGTTTAAGTACATATTAATTTCCATTTAACAAAGAGCAAGAGAGCAGAGGAAAGGGTTTGTGTAAGCTGCCGCCCAGGGAGGCCTCTTCGTTAGTGTCTGTTACTGCATCGAACCAGGGCCTGCCTGTAGCTATGTGTCGAGGACGGTCTATAACTGTCAATAGTTTTATGTTCGCTGGTGCCATCATATTCGATGTCTGTCCGGAGAGTATGGTAACAAAAGATAAAGCTATCCCTGTAACAGGCCGTGGAGACCCATAGGGTTGTGAGACGTCGAGACTCCCACATTTTCTAGTCAATCTGTTCAGAGATGGCGGTGAGGTCAGCCTTAAGCGCCTGCCGCCCTTTGCCGGCAAGAGGATTCCTGATACTTAGTTCTGTCAGAGACTGAGTGGACTTCAGAATGATACTGCTGCTGGAAGAATTATGTCAATTTAAAAATCCATTGACCTCGTCGGCAATCGAACCTGCAACCTTCCGGCTTGTAGTATAATTCCTCAACCGAGTACGCTACCGCGTATATTGAAAAATTATTTATTCTGGGCTTTAAGTGTGTATGTCTACGCATGGGAATTGTATCTGCTGCTATGGGGAGAAAATATTTGTCCTAGCAAATATCAGGCTTTATTTGTTTTATGTCTGTGTGACTTATAGGACTGTCATGAACGAAGTAACGGAAAGTTTCTTAACTGTGCCAGACACTAGCAAATTATGTTGCCTCGTGTACTTAAGGATCAGGATGCCTACTGATTGTTCTGCCTTACTCAACCAGAACTACATGAACGTATTTGCAGGTGTTTTAAGAAAATTAAGTGCCAATTTATCCTCTCAAAAATTGTAAATATTTAAATGTGACTGATTTGCTAACTCTGTGGAACAGTTTGGGCAAGCTGGCTCTAAACTTTGTTTGGGAAGTGGACGGTTCGGATATCGACCGAGGACTCTTTGGACGGGGGACTAGTCGTCGCAGTTCCGTTACCTACACACAGAACAACATAAACAGAGAATAAACGGACAGAGACATCCATGCCTCAAGTAGGGTTCGAACTCACGATCCCAGTGTTCGAGCGGGCGAAGCCAGTTCATGTCTTAGATCGCGGGGCCACTATGACCGGCCGAAGTGCCGGGATAGCACCTGAAAATTACGCCACAGTAGTCTCCTTCCATATCCTTTCCAATTCATTATTTGCTGTCACACAGTCATTCGACGCTCTACTAATAGCCACGTAAAATGAACTACAAATAGTTAGAAACAAAAATGTATGGAAGAAAGAGCTTCTGGGGAGCTAATAATCGCGTAAGTACACCCCCAAAATTCCTTGCCTTTTACGGAACCCGAAGGTTCATTGCCGTGTTTACATCAGTTGTCACTGATGCTTATTCTGAGCCGGTTGAATCCAGCCCTCACCCTCATATACCGCTTCTCTGAGATCCGATTTCATTTTGCCACGTGTTTGGTGGCTTGACACGGGATTTCGATTGATAATGAGGATTATTTTACCAATTGTAACTACAATTAACTACAACTGTCGCTAATCTACACTCTTTACAGTCCATTAAAGCACACGACAATTCTCCTCAGTGTGTTATGTCCTCACCAGTCGTTGCCCGGTAATGGATTTCAGCAATGTCCTATGCTGCCGTTATTGCCGCCTGGGTAACATCTCACAGTTAACTAATCATGACGTCGGCTCCCTCACATTCTCGGCTGAATAAAGTCAAAATCAGAATTATGATACGACCGACGGACCGTCGGTCAGTTTGCCTTGGTGTTACGTCCCATCTGGGGCCCAAGAATAGTTGCGGTTTTGTTGATGTGGGGCGCCCTCTCTGACGAGAGAACAGGTCTCTCGTTTACCTTTGCTTCTGTCCCAAGTCAGCGCAGTCATTGCCGGGTCCGAGCCCCCATGCTGTGTGCGTATTTGTTGCCACGAAAACAAGCTGTCAAGAGCTGTTTACCGGCCATTGGGTAGCAGCGGATGCCTTCTATTGTTAAACTATAGCGCCATCATGTAACAGTATTATATGCAAAACTACGGAGAGGCAGGATTGTGAAACTTTCGAATTAAAGGTACGGTTCAGCTTCTGTTCGGTACGTAATATTGTGTTTCGGTTCAGCGGTTCACAGGTTATAGGCCTAAAAGCTTCTGTACCTGAACTAAGCAGTAAGCACCGGCAACAAAATGAAGTAATAAAAACTAATTTTGGATTCCGTGATGTAAATATAACAAGACTATTGTCACGTGATAGAATTATCATAGACGGAGTTTTGGATTGGTAATAGGATTTATTTAACATTTTAACACACAACTCGTTACTACATTTTACAGATAGCTATCATACCGACTGGTGTCCTCAGTCACGGTCTTCACTGCACTGCTTGGTAACGTCTTCCAACAGTGAACATTTTTCTGCTTCTGAGATCACGTCCTCCAAGGCTGGCGGCCATCTCACACCAACCTCCTGCTCTGCCATCTCAAGACTCACTCGTAATAGTAGCTGGCCCTCGTTATGTAGACTCCGCACGGGCCGCACAAGAACCACCGCTTCCAACAGTTATTCCATTGTTGTGTGCGCGTCTGTAACGCCTACTGAGCCATTGCCAAGCAACGGGCGTGTTCACAGAGCCGTACCCTAGCAACGGCTGTCTCTGCTGGCTTCACAATTCTAGCTTTCAGCAGACATAAAACACTAGATTACCAAATACTTAGGTTATTACACTGTGTAGAAACGTTTCTACAGAACTCTTCTGACAAGGCAACTACAACATTAACACCATCACCACCGAGGGGACTCATAAATACAGTATTACACAACATTAAATTTCAAGGACCTAACTCCACGAAAAATCTACCAGAGCAGAACACTAAGTTCAAAATAGAGTGTAGACACCACACAAAATGCAACACTGTATAATGTCAAGAAGGACTGCAGCATGGCATCTTACCCAAATCACATTTACTACAACCTCAACTTAAAATAAAACATGGCAGATAAATTAAATAGCGGTTACATGAGCGTCTAAGTGTGACTCACTAATGCATATTAATAAATGTACAATTTTAATTTAAGCTTTATTACATTTTAAGCAGCAGTCATCGCCTGGAAGGACATTATATACGTATATCAATTTTCATAATGATACAGTATTTTAATAGTAATAAGTGTATAACTGGACTTCCAATATACACATACATGCTAGTGATAGACTATAGCATCTATTTAACTATTAAATTCAGTATAGATGATAACATAAATAATCAACAATATAGGTGCATATATGTATGATTAAATGAGTGTACATACATTCGTTTTAAGAACTGAGGTAAGATGCTGTGCATCACAAGGGGCCAGGATTGTAAAATTACTGATTTTGGGGGGCTAGTTGTATAGTAGTTGACCTTCTTTACCGACATAAGTCCTGACAGTGGCTGTACTGTGCTACAGTAGTTCCACAGGACATGTGGATAGATGACAGCACGTGGGGATACTTGCCAGTAGGACGTGATAATCCGTGGCGATCCATGGCACTGATGGCATAGATACTAGTTTGAAAGTGATTTGATGTGAATATAAAGAATACCAAAGAAATAATCAATTTATATCAATATTTATATTGATTTTAATAATTAATTAAATGTGCACTATTTGCGTCCAAAATTAATTTATTTTAGCCTAAAAAGTGAAACATGTAGTTCAAAATGACACTATATTTAAAATGTTTGGGCTTGACGTTTTAAAGCATGTTGATCATCTGTGTTACTGGAAAATGGCTGTGGGAAGTATACTAAGCCTGTGGTTACATGTAGTGGTTTTATGTTGATGTTATTGTTTAAAGCATAGGAACCGGACTGTAATAATGTCGTGTCAAATTAGAACTATCGCTAGTTTAATTGACATTGACAGTGTTAAGAAACATTTGTTTTCTTTAGGTAATTAAGTCACGATATTAAAGTGGGTGTAGACGTGAAGTTGAAAAATTATTATACATTGCCACATATTTCTAATAATTCTGGGTTTCAGTTGAAGCAGAGCCTGACGATTCTTGGGAATGGCCAGACGAAGACTCATTAAAATCCAACGGTAAAGAAACAGCATGGTTACAAGAATGTTGCATTTCACTGTCTTCAACAGGGCAGCTACTTGTGATCGCTCACAAGAAAGTTATGGTAGTTTTAACATGTGAGTGTTATTCCCTTACAATACAACATTTCCGACAATTTTTTGAAAGTAATGAAGTTGGATTCAAGATCATTTTATTATATCTTAACCTACAGTGAAACAACAAAATCTGAAACCTTGAAAAATGCTTTACGTGATTCGGTTCGAAGGCAGCCCCCATTTCGTATCATTTACGAGTAGTAACACAGTTTATATATATATCATAAGTGAAGTAGAATCCTTAGTCTGTTTAAAATTGCAATAAAATGTGTCTGAAATATTACATCTTATACATAACAAAGGACAGCTGTCATATAATAAGGATTTTAATTAAATTAATGATAACGTTAAAATATATGACTTCAAAGAACTACCATCCTAGCCTTTGTATTAAATATATGTTATGCTTGAAGAATATTATCCCATGGGATGTGAGTTTGTGTAGTATGGCAGAAGTTCACTGATCTTTCAAAGGAATATGCCAACTTCATCTTCAGGGCTGAAGATTTAAGCCAAGCAAGCAGTTTGTAAACTTTCACATAACCACACTGTCACATCCCAGAAGACTCTTCGTAGTTGTTGTGAGAATAGGCCTAATGTCTAGTATGTTCATTAAGCCAAACTAAATTAAATAATGAACTGTACTTTGAAATTCTTTTTACAAATTTTGCTGCCTTCAGTTATAGTGTGAAGATTGAATTGTGTAGAAGATGAATTCATGCTTAAAAATTGATCCACTTATAAATGCACAGAATTTATTCTTGATGACTGAGGCCTTTAGGTTTGAGGCATATAGTGTAACCTTGTGAATGCACAAATGTATGTGTCAAATAGGCTGTGCTATGCAAAGAAGAGTACACATGACGTGTGCCTTTATGCAAGGAGATAAAGGGCATGTTTCTGGACACCAATGACAGGACTGCGTGTGTGCATGTGCATGCTTGCGCATGTGTGCACACGAATGTATTGACTAATTTTGATGATTGGAACAAGAGAATTACATCTCCAAATTGTTGAATTCTTATTCACTATCAGTATGATAGACCTTAGACCTTGTTATGAAGGCTTTAGATATTATGCTGTTTTCAGACCTGAGATGCAGATCCAAATTGCAATTCATGTTACAGTTATGCAGGATATGAATTTTTATACAGATAGTGTGAATCATCATCAAAATGCTGGCTGCCAGCAATTATATGCTATGGCTATTTTAACTGCCTGACATTTGTGAAGTAGCATACATTGTTCTGGGCTTATTTTAGATTGGAACTCAATTACATAGAGCAGTCAAAAAGTTTTCGGAATTCCCCTGTAGATGGAGAGCAGCAAAAAGATAGCGCACACACTGTTGTGGTGAGAAGCTCAGTATGTCTGCTTGCAGGCACAGCAGGTCTGGACAGGTTTCAGCATGCAGTGTCGTTACTGTTCCATTTGAATTAGATGTGAGTGTTGGTCATTTGGTGCAATGTCGCAGTTTGAACAGCGTGTGAACATCAAGTTCATGTGTAAACTGGGAAAATCTGCTTCAGAGATGCTATTGGCCCTGCAGCAAATTTACGGTGATACTGTACTAAAGAAATCTGCAGATTACAACGGGTTCTCCCAGTTTAAGAATAGGTAGGAGGCATTAGGGGATGACCAGCGCAGCGGGAGACCTTCGACATTCAAAACTGAAGAAATGATTGGAAAGTGCGACAACCGATTCGATGTGATCGAAGAATGACCATCGCAGACTTGGAGCAAGAAGTTGGTACTGTTACTGGCCATTTCTGCGTGAAAGTTTTGCAGAGATTGTGCGATGCAGTTTCTGCATCATGATAACACACCGAGCCACACATCACTTGTTGTGCAGCAATTCCTCACCAAGAAAAACATTCCTGTCATCACTCAACCACCGTACTCTCCGGATCTCGCTCCAAGTGACTTTTGGCTGTTCCCTACTCTGAAAATGGGCCTCAAGGGGACACGTTTCCCAACCATGGAAGACATCAAATCGAATGTGATGGCTGAGTTCCGGAAGATTCCAAAAGAAGCCTTCCACCACTGCTTCCAACAATGGCAGGATCGATGGAGCAAGTGTGTGTGTGCTCAAGGGTCCTACTTTGAAGGTGATTAGATAAGTGTTGCCATATGTCCTACCATTAGAGTGCTATACCACCATTCCGGGAACTTTTTGACTGCCCCTCGTATGTAAGGATGGAAAATGGATTTTAAAATACTGAGGTCATGGAGAGAAGTCCTGTTGGTTACCTCTCACATCTTATTTGAGCTGTTATGGTCCCCCTCACAATTTGTTTCCCCATATTCTCGACATTTGTTCAGCCAACCTGTTCCCATAAATTTTTGTCATGATAAACCATATGATAAACTTTGCTCATGGCAGGCGCTTCAGGTAAGCTGGAAGGGCATGCAGCAAGCAGAAAGGAAGAAGTCTTGAATGCCATCATCTTCATATGTGGGACTTCTTTGCATGGCCTCAGTATTGGTGTATAAAGGTTTCATTTTAGCGTAATTTGGTTGTCATTTGGAATGTTCAGTATATGAAACCTTGTGAACTTAAAAATATGAAACTGAAAGAAATTTCCATTATGAACAAAGTAACTGATGTGTATCACTGTAATTACCATTATGCTGGCATGCTCATGTCTTGGATCATAGTTGTTAGATTTTTACAGAATAAAATGTGAAAAAGAGATTTTTAATGATATTGTGTGATATTTTTATGTAGCAAAATGGGATTCACAAGAACAGGGTGATGTCAAGATGAAGTACCACATAACATGGCATGGAAACCCCTGTAAGGATGAAAAGTGAGTTAATATATAGTGTAGTTACATATTTAAACTTAGATTTTACTTTCTTTGAAATGTATTTTTAAAATACGTAATTGTTTCTCCCTCCCAGTGAGCAGATAACCTCAGTCTTATGTCTGCCATTAATCTTCCAAGGAAAAAGCAGCCATTGTGGTCCAGACTGGACGTGCATAGTTATTGGCTTATCATCAGGATTTGTTCAGTTTTACACAGAGGTCAGTAATATTTTGAACCTTCATCATCAGCAATTAAACTTTTATGTCAGACAAAATTTTTATTGCCCAGGAATAACAGTTTTAAATTTCCTGTTGCTCTGGGCTTGGCAGTAATTCATCATCCAAGGGGTTTGTTTACATCTGAGTTGTGCTCAGCTGGCAGCCATATTTTAACCCATAGGTAATGGTATTAGTGTTGCAAAATGAATGTTCTTGGCCAGCTGGACTGTGTATGCACACCATTGTAGTAGTAGAACTTAATGTATGTGAATGCATTCATTGCTGGTTAGCCCCTTGAATAATATTTTATAAGTCAGAGTCAGAGTTACTTTACGACTTGTGGTATACCACCAGTTAGATTGTCTTGGTGCCAAGCCCCTTGAGACTCATGACCAGTATTTTTCCAACAGAACACTTGCAGTTATAGTCCTTATGGAACATCGTCTCTGACAAGAGGATCGATCATTTACAATCCTGCTGGTCCTTGCCAGCACAGTTATTCTTGGGTCTGAGTCCTGCAGGTCTCACGACGATATTTTACTGTCTCAGACTCGAGACTCCCCCAACCTGGAGGGCCAGGTACCCATATTTATATCCCCCAGGAAGAGGGTGGCCCAGTTACATCCTCAGGCACTGTGTTCCCTTTTCATCACCTCTACAACTTGCAGGGCTACAGTGGAGGTATTTGAACCCACCTCCATACAGAGTGTTTATGAGTCTCACTACTAGTCCTCAGACTGTCTTTCACTGTTGCTTCTTCTCTTTTGCTAGGGAAACAACTTCGACAGAGCTAGTCCCTAGCAACAGCTGTTGTACTGTCACCTGTTTACACATCTGTTACTAGGTAATGGGTCTACATGTCACAATGTAGTAAAAGTACACTTTTTTTTCAATTCAGATGTTGAAATTTTGTGTAGGATGTTCAGTACTGACCAAAATTAAATTTCATCAGTAAAATTTCTTAATCCTTTGAAATATAAAGTTAATCTAAATATTATTTAAAATTAAATTATTACCTAACAAATAGTACACATGGCCCTGGGGATTTCTCTAACAGAAGTGAGTACCAGGAATCTTCCTGGTGGTAAAGGGTGGCTGGCATATAAGGCTGACAACCTCAGAGCCATCTGTGATTGTCTAGAAGATGTGGAGCCTTCATAGAGTGCTGCTGGTAATTTTATTTACTGCATTATGGAGTACACCCATTCCAGTCATATGTAACACAAATTGAAGTGAACAGAACATGTTGGATTTGAGGTTTGCATGCTGGCAGCTATGAAGAGAACATTCTTCTAGGTTGAAACACCACATAATTTCGAGAGAGCCTGACATTCAGAGGTACATATCACCTCCATGTTCGGAATTGCTTGGATCCATTGAAACTAGTCACTGGACCCAGCTCAGCTCATCCGAAGTTATTCACCTCCTTCCGTTGGTTTCCCGCTTGGCTTACACTTCATCTCTTAAGATGGAGGTGGCATGTTCCTCTGAAACAGGTTGTTTCCAAACCGCATGGCATTACAACCCTGAACACCTACTCTTCTCAAACAGAACTGTTTATATTGCTCCCACATGTGTAGTTACTTATGTATGTTTCTGTTCAAACGTTTAATTTTCTTGTTACCAGAATTGCAATCTGTTGCTCTCAGAATTGCTTCACAATGAACCAGTTACCCATCTAAAGTGCCAATCTTTTGAACCACGAAGGTTTTCCACAGCACAGGAACACAGTGAAGAGCTGTATGTCATGTACCATAGTGCTGTATGTGTTTTGATGGGCTTTGGACTCTTCCCGAAATTGCGGGCCTGTCGCAACCAATTGGCAAGAGGTAATTTTGGATTACCAGATGTATAGATGTTTAATTGACCCTTGAGAATGTTTTTTAACTCTTAGTCTAGATCATGCCTATCTTATGTATCTTATGCTACAACGGCAGCTTAGTCGCATGAATGGTCATAAACTTGGCCACCGCCAAGTTTAAGCATCTTATATTTTTAATTCTACCCATTTTGTGCAAATTATATTTGTATGGTCATATTTTTTCTTTTCTGGCCCCTTGTTACAGTGAAAGCAAACTGCAAAGCAGTGATGTCAGCATCTCCTCTCACTTACAAGAAATGGGGGTTCACCGAACAGAATGTGGTGGCAGATTCAGAGGTTGTTGGTCCAGCTACAAATAACACGTTTGATCATCTTGTAACGGCATCTTTGTGTGGAGGCTTCAATACTTATCGCTCCAGTGCACCACAGACTTCCCTTATATTAGCTGTTGGCAAGAGACCTTATGTTGGCTTTCACTATGCCTTGGAAGGGGAAGCACCACCAATGTTTGCAGGTGTTACTAAAGCAGTGGTCAGCAAAGTGAAGGCTGCATTTGGTCAAGTTGTCCCGTAAGTACACTGATACTGCAGTTCTGGGGAGTGTGCACATTCTTTGCCTTGGTTCTGCTTAAAATAAACTAGGCTTGTGAACATCTTGAATTTTCAAAATTGAATTCAGATAAAATCTCATTGTCGATTTGAACATTGACTTTTCAGTATCAGACTTAAAAAATTTTTGGGCAACTCCTTTTGCTTAATGCAGTAGCACACATATTGTCTCTCAGAATCATAATGGCTTGCAGCAGCAGCACAAGTCACAAACAAAATCTACCTGTCCTTCTTTTCTGCCAAAGGTAAAAAAAGAACCTGGCCCTAGAATCAGTTTTTTTAACAGAAATGATTTATGAAAAATTTCTTTGAGAAACGATTTGATATCAAGAGGTGGAAGTACTACAGTTTGCATTTTTTTTTCAGTTTGTTGTTTAATAGTGATAACTGGCAGGGGAAACCAAAGTAGTACTTGGAGAGAACTTGCCTCAATAACACATTGTCTACCACAAGTCTTACATGACCTGACCTGGAATCATAAAATAACATGAGATCACAACATTGCTGCATGTTTCATCCCTGCTTGGCCATCTTCAGGCAATTGTTCACTTTTTGAAATCATCACACTGCACTAGATCATAAGTCAGTATGTGTCTATCCTGTTACATATTGTTCACACTAAAATATGTTTGTTTGAGGATAAAACTCTCTCCGTTCTGTGTTATTTTCCTTTTGTGGTTTCCGTGTTTGTGCCCCCCCTTCATATGTATGTTTTCACTGTATGTTCCTTCTCACATTTATGTTAAATAAACTGTAGTGAAGTTTCCTATATATTGTGTCAACTAGTGAGAAGCGCATTGAAATTTCAAGAGGAAAACTTCACATTTCCCATGTCTAGGTGTAATTTTCATGGATAACCCTTCTGTTCATCCACCCTTATACATCATAGCTTTTGAGGGGCCCTTTGAAATCAAAGTTTTGTTGAACATGCTCACGGTGAACATGAGTTCTGGAAAGATGGCTTATTAGAAGTAGGAAACAGGAAAGTTACATTTATTTGTGTATGTGAGAGAGAGAGCGCCTCTCACAGTGAAGCAAGCATGCACAACAGCAGCTCCAATGCCTGTTGGTTCAGGCGCTGCCTAGTGACAACATATAAAGACATGGACCTCCAACACGAGTGAGTCGCAGCAGCTCTTACATCAAGACAGCTTGTCTGGATTGTAGACAGCAACAGCAAGTCTCCTAGCAGCAACACCATCAGCTAATGCAGGTTTCCGGCTGCTGACGCTAGGGAGAACAGCCAGCTTGCAGTTGTCTGGCCACCGATGCGTTGAAGACTGGCCAGCTCATGACCCTTTTCAGCGCCCACAACACCTCACTCGTTACCACACAAACTGTCTGCCTGCTCATCTGTATTCTCTGTTAACAGCAATAAATTGTTATAGAAATTTATGTCGTCTCTCCATACTACCAGAACCAACATCCCATATATGTATGTACTCGTATGTATCATGTGCACACACAAAGATACATCTTGAATTGTGTGGTGATTTGTTCCAGGAGCTGGATAGGTGGAGGAAAGCAAAACAGCTCTTTAGAGAAAGATAAAAAGAATGTGCCCATAGAACCTGCAGTCTCAATGGTATGTAGGTAGGTAAATTATTCTGTTTTATGTACTGATTCATATACTGGACCTCCTGGTTTCTAATTACTGTAGGTGCTTTGAAGTGGTGAATGTCATGGGCAACTTTACTAATCTGAGAGTAACACGGGGTAATATGCAGTCTTGTGCTGTGAAATGGAAATTTGTCTTCTTATTGTTTGAGATTGGAGGTTTCTGCAGCCATGAAAAACTTTGTGATCTCTTGGGTTATGACAGCATGTAGTCTGGTAGGGAAACCACTTGCCAGACTACATAACCAATTATTGTGGTTGAGGCTTTTCATATATTCATTATCTCTCCCCCATGTATATTTTGGGCAGTCTTAACCAGATACTTGGTAAATTCCAGTATGTTGAAGTGGTTGGCTCTCAGTGTTTTCCACTTCAAGTGGTTTTCTGTGGTATTTATAGTCCTAAAGGCTGATGTGGTATTAGTGTTTTCTAATAATCAGGAGATAGCTCTTTCTTTGTGAAGCAGGTAAATGTGGGCCCATTTTGGTTTGGCTTATGTTTGAATTTTCCTCTTTGTTGAATTCTTGGCATATCTTAACATATTTGATGGGTACTGGGTCTTCAGTATTTCTTCTTTTAGTTATTAATTTCTTCTGTAGAAATATAATTATCTGAGTCTATTAATTAGATAGTTAATGGCATATGTTAGTGCAACAGTTTCGACAAAAGTGACTATCCGGCTTGTCACACTTTACTAACATATACATGTGTGATGTTTCTGTTTAACAAATGATATTGTATACTTTTGTATGCTTGCAAGTGTGTCCTTTTAATGCTTCAGTTTAAAATCGCAAGATTGATCCAGCCTGAAAACATCAGTATAATAATCCTTACAGAATTATTCTTTTGTATACAGTTCAAGTAGCTTTTGAATGATTTTCCATGTAATTTCCACCTGAAGATGATATAGGACTGAAACATGTTGTGGAACTGACTGTATTGTAATACAAATATTACATTATGTTTTTGGACATTATCCATCTTCCTGTTTTATGTAAAATAGGATGGTGTTTTAAATAAAAGCAGGTTGATGGATAATGTCCAGAAACATAATGTTTATACTAATACACCATGGCCACAAACTTTAGATCCTGTTGACTATATCTTGTTTGAAATAAAAGTTTGTGTTACTGTGTATGTTCTTACCTTTTATAATTTTATACAAACCAAATGCAACTGTATTAAAAGAATAATAAATCTGATATTCAAGCCAGAATACCTCAGTCAGTGTAGTGAATAGGCTTCAGGGTAAATGGCTGGGGTTTGATTCCTGGTAGGGTCAATAGGTTTTCTTACTCCATGGCATCCAGACTAGCTCTGGGGCCCACCCAGCCTCCAATCCAATGGGTGCATGGGGCTCTATGCTGGGGGCGGGCGTGGTTTAAAGCAGCAGGGGCATGAAGCTGACCACTTGCCACCATCTAGTGCAGAGGTCACAAATGGTGGAGCTGTACCTTCACTCCACCATATGCTTTCATGGCATAGTGCTTAATTACATAATTAAGTACAGGGATAACTTTGCCTTTATCTACTACATTATACAACATCACATCCCAGGTAACTGTAGTTTTAATGTTTATAACTGCAAGACCTCAAATCTCAGATTGTGTGTTACCTATTTGAGATCAAATTGTTCCTTTCAGGTTTGGGTTATGTGATCTTCTGAGACATGGGGATAGACTTGTGATGTCTCCAAATAGGAATTTATCTGTAGTATCAGACAGCCTGGGCCGAATTATCTTAATAGATAACCTAAGAGGACTGGCAGTTCGTATGTGGAAGGGTATGTGGTATTGTAATATTTTATGTCTATACTTTTCTGCATTATTCTCTATATTATGAATCACATTTTTTACTTCCTGTATCTAACTAAATATTAGGCAAATTAAATTTTATGGTCATAAACATATCTATAAATTCTGTATGAAATACTACTTTAATACATTGCAGACAGGTTGTTTAAATATTTAAATCACCCTGGGGACCGGGGTTTTTAAGCCTAGCACCCTAACTTGTGCACTATTCACTTTAAAAATTAATATAAAATCTCCTAATTAATTTTATGAACTAAAATTTTTGGAGAACACTTACCAGAGCTCCTAGAAGTGCTTGTGCATGTGATATCTCTGGAAACATTCCCCTTTGTGAAGCAGCATCACGCAGAATTTGCAGATTTACGCAGTCCTACTCTTCTTCTTGTGGACTGTGTGACCACGGCACTGCCTAGAAGGGTACTTCTTCTTGCAATTTTCACTCTTCACATTTCTCACGAGGGTATGTTTCCGCATATCACCCGAGAGTCATCCAGGGGGGTCCACATGAGGCCTGCGGCGGGTGGGAACAGATGGCCCCAGCTGAACTACGTCTGTGTCTGATGCAGGTACTGCCGCCACCGTGAGGTCAGTAGCCCAAGCTTTTGCCAAGTTCAACAGAAATGCTTTGTATTTCAAAGTAGAATTTCTGTTCACTTTCACTGGACACAATAATTTGGGGGGCCCTGTGGCCCCTGTCACTGTCACTTTCACTGAGGCTGGCCTAACTATCAGAAGACGAAGCAGTTGGCAAATCTGATAGCTCATCGGAGAACAAATCTAATATTTCTTGTTCTCTAAGAGAACGCTTCACCTGCAACTGCTTTAGTCTCTGATCCATATTGCACTGCTAACTTCCTGGTTCATACGTGGAAGCTTGGACTCAAACAGAGGCTTTTTTCTTTAGGGTGTGACAGGAAATGAGCGTGATTATGTTACTGGCTAAGCTAGCAAACATTCCCAAGGTCAACTATGCAGTAGTTATGATGCAACGTGGCCACACAGCGAGATATAGTTGGTTTCCAACATAACGTGTCAGAAAAGGGCAAATTGGCCCTCCCGGTCAGCAAAGCTATAGAAACGTAGAGGGCCAATTGGCCCCTCCGGTCCTGAATGTGTTAAAGTAGGCTTAT